TTAACAGACCAGTAAACTACCTTAATCTCAAGTCAGTATTACACAGCAATCACAGAAAGGAGTTGCTCAACCAATGGGCATCACAAAGCACAGGCAGAGCCATGTACAAATAAATGATCATGCCAAACAAACTGGATAGTGGACACTGGATAGTGTCTATTTTCTCATCCCCAAAGAGTAATCTTTAATTTTCCAACTATAAACAGGAAACACACCTTTAAAAAGCTTGCTAGAAGAAGGAGAAGAGTCATACTTACTAATGAAAGCTTTTGATTGTTTAGAATCATATTTTTTGTGGTATTGTTAATATATTTCAGACTTTATTATAAATTTATTTTTTTTTTTAATTATCAGGTTTTTCAACTCTGTACAGTTTAAAACTGGAAAACCTTTACCAGGTAAAACTTTAACATTTTTATATTCTTAAATAATACCATAAATGAAAAATACAAGTTTAATAGTAATATATAAAAAGTACAACATAAATAAAAAATAAATAAATATTGATATTATTCAACTTTTTAGGAACAATTCCAGAGAATCCTCCAGTAATATTGGATAGTAAAGTAAGCTTACAAAATCCTTTTCATCTTCAATCATGGATTGAAGAAAACAGACAAAAACTTGACACTGATGGACATATTCAGCTTTTTGGAGATAACTACCAGTTTAATGTAAGCTAATACAACACATACAATAGTTAAGCTACAGAACAACAGCATCCATGTACTTGAGGGGCTACAAATCATTCTAGGAATCTATTCTTTAGGTCACTTTTTCTCCAAAATACACTTAATTATAAATTTTACCTGGACTAGCATCATCTTTAGGTTACGATAATGTCAAGAATTTCTTGCTCCTTACTGACAGGACATTTGTTTACCAATATGATACATTTTATAGAAAACAATTTTTTTTTCTTTCAATGACAATTAAAATTGTACACTTATATCTTGGTGTAAAGTTGTAGGTCAGTAAAAATCAATTGAAAGAACACAGGATCAAACAAAATTTAAATTTTAGGCTATTCATTACAATGTGAAGGGCTTTAGTTTTGTTAAGAAAAGTAAAGGCTACATACTTGCATTGCTCTCAAGAGCATTGCTTTTCAACTTTTGAACAAAAAATAACAAGTTGGAGACTGTACTTCACATTAACAGCCAGAGGATCATATTATTTAGTTTAAGCAAAACAAAATAGAAAACAAAAGCAAGGTTAGAGGCATGTTGAGTAATAAGCCATTTAAATTGCATGCAGTTACTTATTAACCACCTTGTGATGTACAAGTTCAACAAAGCATGTACAGTACATAATATACATTGTTTTCAAATATGTCACTTTTACTTTTTAGGAAGTATCAGCTGCCTTCTATGACTTAAACTCATTGGATTATCAAAATTAATCCATCACTTATCATAGCTCTTGTTCTTCTGATGTAAAAATTAATGGATATTCACTTTAACATAAGAGGAATATTAAAGAGTTGGTGGGGGTAAGAAAATGATGACTCCCAACTTACATATTAGATAGATTGATGTAGATAAGGCAGTATGTAGATTTAGCTAGAAATAGATTATGGCTGTTTGGTTTGCACAATAATTCACACAATAAAGATTTCTGCCACTAATTTAAGACTGTTAGTTTTTCCCAATATTTTTTTAAAATAACTAATAAGAAACACATTTTTCAAAAATATGTTTTGCTAGGTAACCATCTATGGGACAGGTGAAAACACAGACTGCTGTGCTAATGCTGAAACTTGGATTTGGCAGTTGGTAAGTCGTGATTCATTAGTACAGTTTTCTTGTTACCACTTACCTATAAGCATACTATGAAGATAAAAGGGAACCTCATCAATATGTTCAATCACTATCTCAGCCTTTAAAGCAAACTCCTAAATATTGCCAGACTGAGGGCCAAAACTAAAATCAGAGCCACCCTCGTAAGAGATATGTTATTCGCGGATGACACAGCGCTAGTGGCACACACACAAGAGGTACTTCAGTCACTAATGTCCCGCTTCTCTTAGGCCTGTAAAAAATATGGCTTAACTATTAGCTTGAAGAAACCAAATGTTATGGGACCACCTGCTACAGCACCACCCTCCCTCCTCATAGATGATAACAAGCTGGACGCCGTAAATGAATTCTGCCATCTAGGATCCACAAGTTTAGATGACCTGTCTCTAGAAGAGGAGACAACAAAACGCATAGGGAAGGCTGCCTCGACCTTCGCTAGACTCAGGCCAAGAGTTTGGGAAAACCAGAAGCTCACTACAGTGACCAAAATGGAAGTCTACAAGGCATGCGATATGAGTACACTACTGTATGGCAGTGAATCATGGACCACCTAAGCAAAGCAAGAGAGAAAACTAAACTCATTCCAAATGTGATGGATCTTGAAAATCACATGGAAAGAAAAAGTGTGCAATACTGAGATCCTTGCATAAACAGGTATTCCCAGCATCTTTACAACTCTCAGACAACGCCACTTACGCCGGCTTGGACATGTTCGCCGGATGGAGGACAATCGCATCCTAAAAGTCATCCTCTATGGACAACTTTCGACCGGCGCAAGAAAAACTGGTCGCCCCTACCTCCGTTACATAGATGTGATACAACAGGACCTCAAATCAGTGAACATCAATACTGACCATTGGGAAGACATAGCTCTAGACCGCACCAGATGGAGAGAGACAGTGACCAAGACAGCTATGGACAGTGAAAGAACGTGGGTCTCAGCTCATGAAGAAAAACATACAATACGAAAAATGGCCAGCTCCGCTATCACTGAAGCAGACACCACCGTAACCTGCGATATTTGTGGACGGGAGTGTCTTTCCAAAAATAGGGCTCCACAGCCGCATGAGGAAGTGCGCAAGATGAACCATAGTCGTTCTACGACTGAAGGAGGCCAACAAAAGCTGTTTTCATTTAGGCTTGCTATATAACATACTTACCCAGTATCTTTTGAACTTGGATTGATGGGTGGCATTGCAATCAAGTTTCTTGAATAGTTAACATCAATAAAAGAAACATATCAATGTTAATTTTTTTCATATATTTCAGGAAGGGGAATCTAAGATCATCATAGAAGATAATGAATACAAAATTGAAACGAATGATTCAATTCTAGTCAGACAAGGCCAAAGGTCAGCATATCATATTTAACACATTTTTTCTTCAGCTTTTTTTATTTATGACATTTATGGAAATGTATATGGTGGTAAAGTGATTAAGAATTTAGCCTCTGAATAAAAGAATATTGAATCCTAATGAGTGTTGATCAGTGAAAACCCACTTTGGACATTAGCATTATACCAGGGAATACAAAAGAAAACAAATCTTCAGGAGTGCTAAGAAAGTTTATTTTCAACAGCATAAAATATGTAAACTATGCATAAAAGGAGATTTTGCAAAAAAAAAAAAATTATTTTTTTTCTTTCTAAGAATGAGCGAGTTTATGTGGTTAAACCAGAAGATATAAATTGCTAAATAGCTGGATATTTGCACAATTAGACTAATACTAATATGGATGACCTAACCCCAAAAAGGAGGATATGTCCTACTTTTACCGGACGTATGGTAACCCTAAATTTATATCTTCTTATCTTATTTAATACAGACTTTATTTCAAAAAAGAAGATGATCACATCCTTTATGTCATGTATCTAATTATGCATGTTAACCAGTGACTTAAATTCTGTCAATTCACTTGTTTTCTTGGCTTACTCAGGCAACCCATTCCATGCTCTAATAGCATTAGGGAAGAAGGAGAATTTGTACAAATTTGTCCTAACATATGGAACGAGGAATGTGCCTTTCTGAGTATTTTATCATATGTATATGTATATTTTAAAGGTTAAGAAAACTTAAATAGACCATTGACAGACAAAGGCTTTGTATGCAAAAGATGTTGAAAAATATGCAGGTCGCAACTGGGTTTGCGTAGTCATGTGAAACATTCACTCATCCTTAATCTTCAGAATTGAAGACCTTGGCATTATTATTGATTCATTTTAGTTAAAATTATGTCAATTATCAATTATTACAGATACACAGGTGTTCGTCCAGAAGGAAGTATTGCTCTCATTTGCTATCAAGACCCTACAAGAATAAAGTTACAATATTCATAATTTCTTCTAAGAAAATGTTGTTTTTTAAATTATATTCAAGTATTATACTAAATGAAAAGTATTATTCACAAAAAATATATTTTTACATTATATTTACAATTATTCAATGATTTATTGCCACATTATGTGTGCGGTAATTATTATCATTATTTATATATATAATTTTATATAATGTAATTTTGGCATTAAATAAAATTGGGATCGCTATAAGCTTACTTCTATACAATTTTACAAATGAATTAACAACCAAAAAATATTCAAAAAATATATTAGTTGTTTTTATTTAATGTTGGTGTTTTTTCAGTCAGATTTTTCTAATAAAATGACATGACTTATCTCATGTTACATTGAATGACTTTTGACCTAATTGGTTGTATCTCAGTTTTGTTTTAACAAATAAAATTTGTTAATTATTTACTTTTTAAATAAATATTGGTACTATGCATTTGTTTTCAATATTATCCAGGGTTTACTGTGCCTTATAAACATATATTTGTGTTGGTTGCAATAGTAACATTTTAAATAACTATTATATGTTGAGTTTAGTATTTACTTATATATTAATACAAAAGCTTACTTTATTTATATTTGATATCAAAATACTAGTGCTTGTAATTAAACCATTCTGTATAATTGACATATTTAATTAAAGAAATTTATTTTAAGATTTACAGATTTTTATTTTGATGCTGCAAAGTATTTTAGGACATAATGATATCTGTTGATTAGTTTTAAAAAAAAAAAGATATCAACATAAAACGTTTTTATGACTTTGACTGTTTTCCAGTGCCTATGTTGCAGTATGTTTTAACCTTGACAAAGGGCTTAACATGTCAAATATGTAATGAATATCAATCCCTTCACAGTTGTTTTTTTTTTTTTTTTTTTACTCTTGCTTTCTAAGTACTTGTCTAAAACATCTGATTAGGTCACGTTCTTATTTTAAATTATTCTGTCACTTACTTAATGGACTCTTTTATTTCAGTGGCATTTATTTTCTATCATGAGAAGTGTGTATGGTAGTATTTGAATTTCACAAACATACTTGAGGGCTGCAGTGTTTTTACTTAATATGAAAATGTTTCTGTCAAATTTCCTACAGCTATCTATTGCTGTAGGTATACCAACAGAACTTGTTAAAAAAAATGGTATTCTCTTTAATGTTATATGTGAATCTGCCTCAAATTTGTTAGTCCATTAGTGAATTTGTTCTTTTTTTTTTTTTTTCTTAAGTAGAATGTACCCTAATAAAAATGAAAATAGTTCCAACATTTGATTTGTTTATGTAACATTTATTGTTTTTATATATATTAAATGAAAAATGTATTATACATTTAGAATATTTTTTATTGTAAAGACTAGGAAGTGGCAAATTAAATGTGGGCTGATAGTAGTTGATTATACTTTCATTACATTCAGCTCATTCAGTGTGGAAAAGAAACACATTAGAAAGTTATTTAGCATTTATTTGCATTTAATTTATTTTCATGAGTTATTTGAGAATGTTGATTTCCTAGACATTCCATCCTTTACTCTATTTACAATAAATAAAAATAAATGAAGCTTGCATAGCAATAAATTTTGATGGTGCACATATTAGACATTCTTGATTTCTTAAACCTTGTAACCTAGACTAAGTCGCTGTCTACCATAAAAAAGCATATTAAGTCAATTTTTTTTAACTGTTGTATTAGGTGTATGTCATGTGTGTGTATATGTGTGTATGCCTAAAGATATTTTTGTAATTCAAAATACATTATATTTCTAGTCTATTGATGGTTAGAATATAGTGATTTTAAAAATTTTGTTTCATTTTGCACATAATTTAGCCTACATTAAATTGTTTAAGCGGCTCAATATTGTGTATCTTTATAATTTTTAAATTACCTTTTTTAAAAGGATTGTTATTGGATTATTGAAAAATAAATTTTTTGAGTCTTTTTGATAGTAATTTCACTGAAGTATTTACAATCACCTTATATTCAAATCTCTTAGTTTTAAAAATATTTTTTTAAACCTGTACATTCCACATTGTTTCATTAAAATTTGTTGGTTATTAGTAGTGTTCATCAATAAAAGAGTATATTTTCAATCAGGCAATAATGTTTGGCTTATTTTTTTTGTTGTTAATATAGATAGCATCATTTCAGCTAATGCTAGGCATGTTTAAAGTAAACCTTGACGTTTATTTGCTCTGATCTCGAAATCCTCCATGAAAGTTATATGAGGACGTCCTGTTTGCGCTTTCCTCGTATTAACCTTCAGGTCAGTGCAACTCTTCTGTCGAAGGACATCCCGTAAACCTCATTAAGTGGTCGAGTCCCACTTTGGCATAGGATTTCTTTGTTTGAGATCCTATCTTTGTAACTGACTTCTAAAATCGGTCTTAGCTATTTTTATTGAGCCACATGTAGTCTTTTTCTCAATTTTGGCAGATGACACTTCTGTTAAGTAGGTGTATTTATCTCTAGCTGAACAGTTTGTAGGTTTAGCCAAACAAAAAATCCCAACATAGGTGAAGATAATACTTTTCCATGGTAAGACCTTAGCAGGTCGTCCTGCGGGAGGTTTGGACTAGGAAGTAAACTATCTTCAACTCTGAAAGAACATCCGAAACATGTCAAACATTTTACAAACTAACATTTACAAAGACTATAATTTTTCTCTGCCACAAAAATGGCAAATTTCTCAATTTGGTAGACTACCGCATGTCTGTAATTTATAAGAAAAGATAAGTGAGATGTCTGGGCAATGTAGTATCCAATGAGTGGCTATGAAGCATTACTGCCGAAAGAAATAGATAACCGACTAGAAATGCATTTAGCCGCCTCCACAAAAAAAAAAAAAATGGAAAGGAATTGATAATAATTGAATTAATATATTGGCACTGGCAAACTAGGCAGCCGCCTTGGGCCTCTTATAATTGGTAACGGTCTCGCACAGAACGAAAAAAAAATTAGAGAAATAATTGTGAAACTAGAATCTCAGATTTCAAACATAGTAGAGCATTATATCAGTCCATGTTTAAAATTTACTAGTCTCTGTCTCTAAATTTCAGTTATTTGTCCGTTTATATTATAGACAGGTAGGTTTTTAATTTTTCTTGTCAAACTTGAAATTTGTGGAGTAATTAAGAATCAATGACATCGATAATTCGGTAAAACTACGTTGATTTTTAAATTCTTCTCTGCATCTTTATTTTTTTCTTCTTCTCAGTAACTATATAGCTGAAGGCTTATCACATTACCTTTAACATTAACTTTTCGCAATCGTGTAAGACAAAAAACTGGATGAACACCGCAAGATCGAGCTACTGAAGCAGCCTTATTTTTTCACTCTCAAAGTCATTTCTTGTTCATTCTAGATTTTCTCCATTCTTTTATGTTATCCAGCCAGCTTTTCGTTGGACAATATGACCAAACCAGCTTAGCTTTCGTTTCTTCACAATATTTAGGAGTTATTCCTTTTTTGCCAAAGTGTTGGCGATTGAAAACCATGCCGGATCGGCCGAGGCTAGGTTTAACAACGATGTATCTATAGGCATATATACATTTTATTTAGAAAACGGACCTAACGATTTTCATTAAAAGGTAGGCCTATGTGCTGTAGAAAAAAAGTCTCAACTCATAGACCGCATCGCGGAAACTCGAGGTCGACCATTTTATTGGTTTGAAACTGTTTCAATAACGAAAAATTAATTTAGGCTAGAATGTTTTATGAATGAAAATTTTCCAAATGAGGTCAAAGGAATAAAGACGCTTATAAGTCACTACAGCAATAAAGGGAAAAACTTGACACCACTTACGTCAGTGGCTTACTGCAGTACACTAAAACATTTCTTTGCAAACATGAAACAAGTTTTAATGAATCACTACAGGCATAATTAAACATTTGCGCACCATCTTATTGGGGTAGACTCTACAGTATCAGCCTTGTCACCAAAGTAAAAGCTACCTATACGGCTCTCCGTAATTGAAGTGTAAACAATTTATAAAGCACTTAAAACACAATAACTAATCGGCAAATTTAATTAAATTTTTTTCTTCCATAATAAATGAATCTACATACGTGTTTGTATATTATTAAAGTACAAAATAAAAAGATATATTTATGAAATTCATTGTAATAGGCTACTTTTAATACTTTAATAGTGACTACTCTTTTTATAGTGTAACGGTACTGTCATTCTTATAGCCTTCAGTAAGCTCTCATGGTCCAATCTTTTCGGTGGGGAAAGGGGTACCTTTTGCCGTTTAGTATTTTCCTTAGAAGAAAGTATAATGTGGACGTCTGAAAGTGCGTTAATTAGAGACGTAAACAAACCTAGTCAACTCAGGCTAGTCTTTAGTTAATATTTAAGTTTAGAGAGAATAGAGGATATCAACAAAGTAGCTAAATAAATGAACGTTTACATTTCAAATAGAATAGTCTGAGTTTGTGCAGTTTTTACTGAGAAAGTTTAAATTGTCCTTTGTTTGATGCCCCTTGTCACTTGATGCCCTGTGCGGCCCGCACCACCCACACATAGCTAGCTACGCCACTGGGCTTCAGACATTGCCAGTGACAGATTTTTGTGGAAACAGCTTGCCGCCCAAAGAGCCGAACGGCGCGGAAGGATCTAAGTCAGCAAGAATAGCACAGTTTTTGAAATAAAACTTTTTTAATAGCAGAATAATGCATTGTAAAGACCTCAGAATATGCATTTTTTTAGGCTTTCAATACCCTTAATAGTGCTTGGCTGCGGGGCTTCGCCCCGCGCTTGGAGAGCTCACAGCTCCCCAGACAGTGGCTAAGTACGCATCTTAAGTAAAAAAAATAAAAAAAATAGTAATAACAAGGAGTTAATTGACTGTCACAAATTATTAAGAATATTGTTATCCAATCAAGACACTTAACTGCAGGAGTAATATTCAAGTTAACACGTTAGAAAAATTATTAAACCGTAATATTTATTGACAGTGTAATATCATTTGTTAGCACTTGTTTTTTTTTTCATTCTGGCTTAAAAAATGGTCAATGTCTATCAGTAAATTGGGTATCAAGGACCAAAGAAATAAAATAAAGAGTAGGGGGGTGTTTAGCTCTCCATTTAAAGATAGCCAGGGTCGTGTCTTCTACAAAATAATTAGTTACTGGCTTACTGGGCTATATAATCTCGCGGTTTGTGTTCTGTGTAGCTAAAGGTCACTCGTTTAGGTGCGTGTGATCTTTAGTCCAGCTTACTAATTGAAATTTATGTTCAAGTAACTCGGCACACTTGAAAAGGTGTATCTCTAGCCCAACCACATGATTAAGATTTTTCTCCAAATAAGCAAACTCTTTGTCCGGATACCTGTGTAGATGTTTGGCTTGAAATCCAGTCCAACCCCCCAATTAAGATTAACTACTAAGTAAACAAACATAGTTCCCTCGTGTGACCTCTAGAGAGTGCTCACGTCCATCGTATCTGACTTGGGGTCACCTGTCAATCAATGAACTCAATGTGATGAACTAAACAAATAAAAGGGGGAGGGAGTTGCTCATCTGGAAATATACCTAGTTACCTCAGAGGTGTAGCTCTTGTAGTCCCCCCCCCCCCTTAATAAAGATTAACTACTAAATAAACAAACTCAGTTCCCTCGAAAAGTGTGACCTCTAGAGAGTGTCAATACGCTGACATGAAACCTACGTCCATCGTATTTATCTTGTGGTCACCTGCCTATAAAAAAACTCAATGTGATGGACTAAACAAATAAAAGGGGTGGGAGTTGTTCATCTCTACCTCTGGAGATATACCCGCACAGTTAGACAGACGTCTGGTCAGCATGACGTAGTGTCGTAGTCAACTAACCTACTCAAAGGTCAAGACAAATTGAAAAAAGTGTCAGCCATTGCTGCTTTGTATTTAAAGCGCATGTATGATGTAAAGTTTCATTTCTATTTATATTAAGTTATTAACACGCCTTGTCTTTATAATCAACGATGTTTGGTGCATATTCATAATGGCTCTATATTTAAGCAGATTATTTTGTTTTAATATTAACATTGATACATTCTACAACAGACATTAATGGAACGAGGTCCACTTTATGCATATAAAATAGGTGTATTTTTTACTATCCGGTAGTGATATCCAACCGGAGCCGAATAGCACTGATAGTGAAAAATGCCGGATATTCTGCAGAAATCGGAGCGACTATCCGGTGCACCCCTACTATAAAGTAGAATGTTTGGCGTATGTATGTATGTATGTCCCCGTATAGAAATAGTTTGACCAATCTTGGCAGAAATGTTCCTTGGGTACCAACTTAGACCATAGTGTATATATTGTGGCCCTAAAACAAACTTAAGACCCTCAAAAATAAAAAAGACCAACTCTATTACAGCTATAGTATTTTATGGATCTAGGCCATGTTTACAATGTTGACATGAAAAAAGATCGAAAGAATTTAGATCTAGATCTAATTTTAAGAACAAAACATTGCACTCATAGTTTTTTTGACACATGAAAATATAAAATATAGTCTATTGATTTCATTATTTAATAAAATTAACCTTCAAATTTGTGTTTCAAAAGCATTTTTACATTAATTCGTTATTTATATCTGCAAATTTAGATATCCTGATGCACATTCTTTCATTAGACATTACCAAATGGTTACACATTAACACATCTCTCTACTGAGTCTATTTCTAGGTCTAAAACTCTTATTGAACTCTAAGATGATAAAACTTCTTTTCGCAAAGATAGTTTTATGCTTTAACACATGAATATACAAATTATAGTCCATTCATTTCATATTTTAATCAAATTAACATTCAAATTTGTTTTTCTAAAGCATTTTAATACATTCGTTCGCTGTTCACTAAAGCTGTTGAGATAGGCCTATATTCATTCATGAAAAAAGGTCACGCATGCACAGAGCAAGGCCTTCGCGCAGCACAGAATGAACTCTATAAAAGCCGATTTTTAACTCTAGATTAATCTAGATCTATGTCTACCTCAAGATCTACTTTATACTTTAACACATGAACATACAAAATTAAGTCTATTCATTTCAAATTTAATCAAATATATGTAGGCCTACAAGCAAATGTTTTAATTTGAAAAATGGATT